CTTCTTTCCTTCTTTCCTTCTTTCCTTCTTTCCTTCTTTCCTTCTTTCCTTCTTTCCTTCCTTCCCTTTCTTTCCTTCCCTTTCTTTCTCTTTCTCTTGCCTCCAGCCAGGAGGGGAAGACACTGCAGGCACAATGGCTTTCTTCCTCAAACCACGGCCATGCACGTGGGACCTTGCCCTGGACTACCACACTGCCAAACAGTTTGAAGGTAATCAAAGCAGGAGCAAAGTACTAATACCTGGTGTTTTCTGGGCTGCATCAAATGAGATGTCTAATGAGTTGGAGATTCTCCAGCTCTACCTTCTGTATCCCTGGGTCCTCCATCTCCAGCCTCCATGTCTTAACTCATCCATCTCCAAGCTGGCCCAGAGATCCTCCATCTCCAGCATCCATATTTTATCTCTTCCTTCTACAGTCTCAACTGGAGAGTCTCCTTTTCTTGACTTCTCTGTCTCCGACCTGAGCTGGATATCCTCCATTTCCAACCTCCACCTCTTCACTCTTCCATCTCCAACCTCACCCCTCCTCTCCCTTTCTCCTTGAAAAGTCAGCAGTGACTTTTGAATCAGGTTTTTGGGTGCCTCCTCTACACTTAAATGTGGCTTCTAATCCCTTCTCTGTCTTGCTTTTCAGTGGATGTGACCCTGGATCCAGCCACAGTGGGTCCTGAGGTGATCCTCTCCGAGGACCTCAAAAAGGCCACTTGGGGCAGACCTCAGCGCCGGTGGCCTGAGGGTCCCGGCCGGTTTGACACAGATCCGTGCATGCTGGGCAGTGAGGGCTTCACCTCAGGCCGTCACTACTGGGAGGTGGAGGCCAATGGGCGCTTCTGGGCCGTGGGAGTGGCCCGTGAGTCGGTTCAGAGGAAAGGCCGGGTCCTCTTCAAGCCCAGTGCTGAGATTTGGGGCTTGCAGAAGTATGATGAGCTCTGTGTTGCCCTCACGGCTCCATCCAACACCTCCATCCCACTCCTCAATGGGGAGATTGGGGTGTACCTGGACTACGAGGTGGGACAGGTCTCCTTCTATGCTGTTGGCAGCCGCCAGTGCATCTTCACCTTCCCTGTGGCTTCCTTCAGTGGAGAGAAGGTCTTCCCCTACTTCTGTGTGCTCCTCTCAACCATCAAACTGTCCCCCAAGGGCTGATGTGCTGACAGGATCCTTCCACAGCTGGTTGCACCATGGTGTTTGGAATGCTCCTTGATGCTCCTCCAGTCTTCTCTTCCAGGTCTTGGAGTCCTTTCCAGCTCAACTCATGGTCCAACCTTCATCATAGATGTCTTTATTTTGGGTTATGTCCAGGGGATTTTGAGTCTGAGCTCAGCACAGCTTGTCTCATCTCAAAGCCACTGTCATTAAATTCATTCAAAGCTTGTTAACAGAAGCAGGGCTTCACAGAACTGGTTTTGACCTGAAAACTTGACTTTTCCTCCCAGATAGCCTTCTCTGATAATTCCTTTGCTGACCCCAATGTCCATCACTGGCCAGGCTTCCAACCCACATTAAAAGTCTTAATTTTTGCAGGCTTTGCATTAATGCCAGCTGCTGATTTTGTCATCACAAGGATGTGCTCACACTCACTTTGCCCACTCGTTCCCTCTCCATGCTCAGGATGTATTTCCAAGTAATTAACATGCAATTTATATAAATGTGCTCAGAATATAATAAATTTTTTTTTCTAAGAAGCAGGCGGTGTCTGCATTTGACCTCTCACCAAGTTGCCCTAGACCTAAAAAGACCCCCCAAGGCTGCCCTAGCCCCCAGGATCCCCTAGGACTGCCCTACATGGGTCTCCAAAGGTTGCCCTTTCCCATCGACACCTTGTTGGTCCCCTGGTACCCTCAAGAACCCGTCATGCAGAGGATTCAAAGCCTTTTTGAGGTTTGGTGCAGCAGGTATCTGAGTGTGAGAAGCCCTCCCTTCAGCACCCAAGGAGCTGACACAGAGGTTTTTAGCCCGTCTCATCCCATTGCCCTTGCCTGAGCTCTGCAGCTCAGGTTTATTACAAATCCAGCTCCTCTCAGTGCTGCAGTAGGAGGAGCTGAGCCCGTTGTCATCCAGGTAAGCGCAGAGCCCACCACCATGGACTTGAAACCTGGAAGGACAGAGGAGAAAATCCCCCTCAGACAGGCTCAGCAGGAAAAAGGAGAAAAGTCACAAATAGGCTTCCCCCCATGTCAGTTCTTGGGCATCCTTTTGGGCATCAACATGACAAAATATCAATATATATTTCTTATATAGGAGTAGAAATTATTCAGCATCAATATGCCAACACTGATGCTGATTTATCTCTATTTCTAATAAGAAATCCAAAGCTTTGCAAGAAAAAAAAAACTTACTATAAAACATCTAATTTCAGTATTTTCTCACCAAACACACCACTCCCATATCTTAGGTCAAGGAGAGAAATAAGATGCAGTGTTACCCTTCCCAAACATCACTGTCCCATTACTGCCTCTGGATGCACCTCAAGTGCCAGAAGAAATGCATGTTTCGTGGTGGGGAAACACCAACTAACTAAGTAACGATGACAAACACAGACTCACAAGTGTGATAAAAGTGAGTGGTTCACCCATTGCCATGGCTGTTCCTCATCTTTCCGCAAAAGGCCAATCCAATGCTCTGAAATGCCTTTATATCTCATCACAAAGCTCTAAAAAAGAGGAAAAAAGGTTTTTACCTCCTTCTAACAAAAAATCTCCATTTTACCAGTTACTTATGCTTCTTTGGGGCTTGAACCTTTCCACCTGCTAACAAGATGTGTCACCTAGCTACAGTTCTTGCAGCAGTTGGCTTTGGTGAGGAATTTCAAGAGACCCATGATGACCAAGCCTCAAGAAAACCCTCTTCCCCAAGTTCCTGCCCCGGATCTCCAAGGAAGACCAATCAAATAAACCATGAGGTGTCAAATATGTTGGTTTGGGGGTTTTTTCCTGACGCTAAGTGTGTCCTCTTGTCTCCTTACCAAGTCTTCCATGCTGTCCAGGATGGCCAAGGAAGCACCAAGTGCTGAGCAGTTGTCCTGGCTGGATGTCCAGTTCCCTGCAGCCTCCGAAAAATAGTAGCATTTTCCTCTATATTTGATCCAGTCGGAGGGGCACTGAAAGTAGGGCTGGGGATGAGGCTGAAAAGCCTGCACTGTCATTAAAAATAGAACAGTGTTAAGGAGCAGCACCTTTCCCTTGCGTCTCTCAAGTGGGGAGGTCATCCTCCACCCAATGGTCTCTGAAGGTCTTGCATCTGCCTCAACTGTGAGTAAAAAGAAAAATCAAGATACCAAGAGAAATCATGGGAGAAAATAAGCTCAAATCATGGCCCAGCTTGTGGTGTTGACCAAGAAACATGACTGCAAAGAAAGAAACAGGGTGATAGCCTTCAGAAAACTGCAGTTTTAAAAGGAATTTCAAAATAATCCTATCCCTAATATGCTTTTGGGTGTTTCTCTCTATGATTAATGCAAAAGTAGTGAAAATGATAGAAAATAAATTCTCCTGTTCCTGGAGACTTCTTAGCTTGTTGGAACTCAAGCCAACGTCTCTAGGCCCATTCTTCTCTGAAAACAATACTTTTGGGTGGCTGTATGTATGAAATGGCTCTTCCTGTTGGTTTTCTAAGGATTTCTGGATGACATCAGCCCCTGCACCAAGGGGATGAGTTTGGTCTTCTGTGGAAAGGCTGCTCTGAAATGTCCCTCTCCTGAATAGGACAGCAGGTTGGGTAGGCTCTGTCTTCCACAGGAGAAGTGGAGGTCGATCTGTGCAACATGTGCAACAACCCAAAATATCTCAGAGACATTCCTCATGAGACCTAAAACCAACCTGCAAAAGTGATGGCTGTGACAAGCAGAGCCGTGAAGAGCGCTGCCAGCATCACCTGGCAGGCGACACGTGCCTCCGGCTTCATGTCCAGGCTGTGACCTGCAGGAGAACAGACCTTCAGTGCCTCTGTGAGAGTTTCCAGGGGAGCAACATGCTCCAGGTCATGCCCAGATGATGACAGGTTGGTCTCTTCCTCATGCCAGGGGACTTGGTATCATTTTGTGTGAGAAATATAAAAAAATTCTTCTCCAAAATTATGTATTTTTTTTAATTTATGGAAACTCTATGGAGACTCTCCTCCACAGCTCCAGCTTGAAACTCCTGAGATGCACCATAATTAAAATCATGCCTTAATTTCTGGGTTCTACCTCATTATTAAAGTTCAGTGGAGGTTTTTTCTCCACCTAAACTGAGACACTTTGGGTCTTGAAAATTATCCAAGTCATGGTGCCTCCATCTCTGGGTCCTGTGATCAAGAATATGCTCTTTCCCTTCACTATGAGCAATGAAAATTCTGTTTCCTAGCAGTTTTACCTAAAAATATTAGTGATTTCACCTCATGGGACTACCCCCACTTTTTATTTAAGCTTTTCCCTTTTTGTCCCCATCTATCACATGAACCAAACCTCATGGGACAAACCCTCCTTTCCCCTCTTCCTCTTGGAAAAATGTTATTAGAAAGTAAGTCAGAAACCAAATATGCCAGCTAATTTTAAAAAAAAACCCATATATATATAAAAAATATCAATAATTAAAAAAAATTAGCAAATAGGAAAAATCAACAAATTTCTAAATCAAAAAAAAATTCCCCAAAAATCTTAGTCCCTGGTTGAATAGACTGAGATGATGGAAAAGACTCCCAAAGCTGCTTTTTTACCTTATTGTGGACCAAGAGGATGATAGAGATGGGAGCAAAATAAGGAGACCTGAAACAGGGCAGTGTTGAAGGGAAAGAAGTAGTTAATAAATATTTTGCTGATGTGTCCAAGTTGCATTTAAAGACCAAACTTCTTTTTGGGGCTTTTAACAGTTCAACTCTTCAAAAATTTCTTTATTCTCATCCAAAATAAATCATAAAATTGGAATATTTGTGGAAAAAATATACCCAAAAGAATCAGTTACTTGAGTGCCTCAGGAAGGGTTAATCCTAAATGAAAATAACCCACAGTGTCTGAAATGGGGCTGTTTAGAGCAAAAGTTCCATCTGCTGAGTGACAAAAATTTTCCCTCAAGGGAAGTGCTAGAAAAAGCTTTCCCCTCACCCCCTTACAACCTTACTTCAGCTGGCTTTTGTTCTCAAATTACAGAAGTATTAAAAAGAAAAACAAACCCAGTGATTCTTCAGTTCATTGCCCTACAGTTACCTGCCCTCTTGCTCCTCTCCATGCCCAAAAATCTGGAATAATCTCTCATTTCCTCCATTTTTGGGGTTCCACGTATACAGCTGCTCCTGCCTCACCTGCCAAGCAAAGTTCCATCTGTCAGAGGTACCACAAAGGCTGTCAGCGCTCTAACTTTTCTCCCCATATTTAAAATTTTCTCCCTGGAATGAAACTTTTCTCCCGAGTTGAAGTTTTCTCCCACAATTAAAATCTACTCCCTCCAATTATAATTTTCTCCCCCAATCAAACTTCCCTCCATTAAAGTTTTCTTCCCCAAATTGTTTTCTCTCCTCAATTAGTTTTCTCCCCCTACTTATACGTTTCTCCCTTCAATTAAATTTTTCTCCCTGCAATTAAAGTTTTCTCCCACAATCAAACTTGCACCCCCAATTAAAGTTTTCTCCCTCAATTAAAGTCTTCTTCCCCTATTAAAGTATCTTCAATTAAAATTTTCTGCCCATAATTAGAATTTCCTCCCTGCAAACCTTTCTCCTCAATAGTTTTCTCTCCCAGATAATATCTTCTCCACTCAGTTAATATCTTCTGTCCAAAATTAAAGTTTTCTCCCTCAAATTAAAGTTTTTTCCTCCCAATTAAAACAATCTCCCCCTATTAAAATCCCCTCCATTGAAAATTTCTGCCCACAGTTAAAATTTCTCCCCATAATTAAAGTTTTCTTCTCCCAATTAAAATTTTCTCCCCCAATTAAAATTTTCTCCAGCAATTTAAACTTCTCCCAGCAATTGAAATTCTCTTCCACACTTAAGACCACCTCCCCTTAGTCCCCCAGCCCATCCCAAGCCCCCTCACCCGGTGGGAACAAGCCAGATGCTGAGGCATAACCTTCTGTGTGAAGAGAAACAGAAACACAGTATGAAAAAAAAGTTATTTTGGTTTATTTTATAGTTTTTTTCCCAGGGATTTTCCTGCACCTCCTACAGGGTTATGGGTCTGCCTGCCCGAGGGCCACCTGCCTGTCCACCCATCGAAGCAGGGGTTCCACTTCAGCTGCACCCTGCACCCCCTTCAGCACCTTTTCCTGCATTTACAGCTTTTTTTCTCAGCTGGGGAAGACAGATTATCCAAAAATGCTTTTTTTGGTGTGCAGGAGGGGGAAATGCTGATGGGGATTGCTCTGCCCTGGGATCTTGAGGCACCCCAAAAGGGACTTCAGGGATGAAGTGCAGTTCCCTTCAGCCAATTTTACCATTTTTTAAATATAGAAATGTAAAAAATAAGTGCTCTTGCAATTAAGCTACCCAGTTGCAGGATTTTACCCTAAACCCTACTTTATTTTACATTTCTGAGGGGTTTTTTGTAATCAGTGGTCACACACCACTGGAGGGGCTGCTTTTGCAGAGGGCAGGAAAGCTGACTGACAGCAGCTGACCACAAAAACTTTCTGTGAGGGTCACAGATGCTGCGGGTGGAAAATAAAATAAAAATAAACATGAGATAATAAAAATATATAAAAAAAATTTAAAATAAGAACAATAAAATAAAATTTAAAAATTTTTAAAAATTAATTAAAAAATAAAATAATGCAATGGTTTTCCTTCTGGGACCTTTGGACCTTTGGGTTTATCCTCTTTTTACCCCATTTCTTGCTGCTGGCAGGTATTGAGGCAAATTTCTATTTTTTTTCTTGCTGTTTTCTGGGTGTCTGAGGCAAAAAACATTGGTTTTAACTCTACAAAAAGGTGTTGCTTGGGGGTGTTACAGCAGTGGCCAAAACCTGAGTTAACACCAAAAAAAATGAAGAAAGGGAGGGAAAAAGGTCAGCATAGGCTGGGAATTGGTGGTCATTCCAATCAGTGGCCAAGGTGTCCCAAATGTGGGAGGAAGCATGGGTCTGGGTAGTGTAAGGCGACACATCAGGAGTGGAAGGGATGGGCCTGCAGGAGAAAACTCAAAATCAAAATAAAATAAAGCAATAAAATAAAATAATAAAATTCAGTAGCAGCCTGCAGGAAATTCAGACTCTCACCTCCTCCTAGTGAGAACAGGAGCTAGGCCACTCCTGACCACACTGGATCTCCCTGACATAGGGTCAAACATAGGCCAAATATTGTGTCAAAAACAGCAGAAAAAGTCACACAGAGCAAAAGGCATCTCAAGTCACTCCCAGCCCATATTTTGGAGAAGAAACACCAAATGCCACCTGCCTCCTCATCTAGTTACCTGCCTGTGGCCACACTGATACAGCCCCTGACACACTTCAGCCTTATCCTGAAAAACCTTATTTAAAGGCTTTCCTAAATTTTTTTTTTTAATTTCTGCATGCTTTCACAAATGTTTTACACAACCATCAAACCCATAGGTGTTTCTACACCTCCAGGCATGCCACCTACTCCAGATGTGCCATCTCCTTCTGGCTGGAGGACACCCATTCCCTCACCGTCTTTCATTTACAAGGGAAGGCTATAGAATATATATATATATATTAAAAAGGAAAAAAAAAAACAGATAAAAGCCCTGGTCAATACCATTTCCTGGAGCCGGATGAAGGCATGAGTAGATAGCTCACAAGGCAAAAGGTTGTCCAAGGACACTGTCACTTTTGGGCTGGTCCTGTAACCTTCTGAGTGGCCATGGCTGGGGAAATTGTTTATGCTGATTTAAGGCATCTTGGAGATGGTTCTTCTCCTGCTGAGAAACGTTATGGTAAGTCCTGTTTTGGGGAAACATGGTTATTTCAAGCTTTGGGAAGACTTTTGAGTTTGTTTGCTCTTGGGTTTGCTTGCTTCTCCATTCCTGTGTTGAGGTTTCCAAGATTGCAGAGAACACTGGATGGCTAAATGTCTTCTAAGGTGGGATTCTGGCTTGAAAAGAGGAGGAAAAAGAGCAAGAAGGGGATGGAGGAGGCTGACAAACATCTGGAATTAGAACAGTTTTGCTTCTGAGACTCTACTTTATAGGCGAATGGGTCCAAGAAGCCCAACATGAGCCAACACACCTGAATGGGAAGGAAAGCTGCTGAGATCTTGTCTGGAATACTGGTGGAGATGAGAGCTGGGGAGGCCTATGTCTCACTGACTCCCAGCTCTGCTGGGAGCTCTAAAATTAATCCCATTTCAGAAGGTTTCAGGTCCCCCAAGGTCCATCACTGGGTGCCCAAAGCTGCTCCTGAGGCTCCTGCAGCCCCTCCACCACCTGAGAAACCACCCATGGGTGATGCCCTCACACTAGACCTCATCAGTGGTGATTTACTTTTTAGAGGAAGCAAAGAAGCTGTAAACTTCTGCTCCAACTCACCAGCTTGACAGAGGGGCTTTTTCTTTTTCCTCTAAAAGCCCAGCTTTTTCATGTTTCATTTTTTTTAAGCAAATATGATCTCTTTCAGCTCCTGACTCCTGTCCATGGTGGCACGGGCTCCTCCTCAAAGCTGGGGGGCTGGGGCAATTCATCCTGCTGGTCCTGGTGGTGGTACTGAGTGTGCAGGGTAAGTAATCAGCTCTTACCTACATCTCACACCTCAGAGAGCAGCCTGAGAGGGGATATCAGGGTTTATTTCAAGCATTTCAGCCTCTGGAGGGGACGAGGTTGTCCCATAGAGATGCAACATCACCCACCAAGAGTAAGTTCTCTCTAAGTTAAAAACATTATTGTTAAAAAGGTGGAGTACACAAGTTGTGTTTTTCAGGCTGGCTTAATTAACTGCGTGAGAAAATGAAACCTGGTTTTATGGGGTTTTTGGCTTTTATCCCCAAATGTCTGGAGCTTCTCCCTCCCGATCATTTCTCTAAGTTTTTCAGGGCTCTCCGCAGCCAGTGGTGATGAGAGTTCCCCAGCCAGGTGATGAGATCCAAGGAAGGAACCAGAAGGAGCAATACATGTTTTCATCCCTGGTGCGGTATTTCTGCAAGCCCCAAGTGGAGAGCCCCACAGGTAATCCTCCATTCCTCCTGGCTCTGCTGGGAATGCTCAGATGAGAGCTTTGTGGAGGGCTTCTGCAAGGACACCCTTGGGGCTGCGAGGCCACCAAGCGTTACTTTGCAAAGAAGAGTGTTGCAAGAAAGAATTATCTTTTCCATGCAATTTTTGCTGATCCCTCCTCCACAGAGAAGCAGGGTCATCCCAAGGGAGGAGATTTCTCACCATCCTGCCCTCTCTCTCACCAGGCATTTTGGCCTTGTGGTCACCCAGCTGCAGTCATCATCCTTCTGTCTGGTGGCTGAGCAGGAAAAACCACAATGATGTTAAAAAACTCAAGGATGGGAAAAGGGCCAGGGTGTGAGATGGGGAAGCCCTTAGAGCCTTCAGCTGGTGGCTGGGGAAGACCTTGACCACCCTGTGGGGTGTCTCATGGCTTTTTCTTCTCTTGCAGCCTATGCTGGCTGCAAGCTGTGTCCCCAGGACTGGCAGCTACATGGGGAAGGATGCTACTGGCTTTCTGAGGAATTGGGAAACTGGACTCAAGGCACAAAAAGCTGCAAAAATCAAGACTCTCAGCTGGTGGTACTCCAGGAAAAGAAAGAAAGGGTAAATAGGGAGAAGGCTTGAAAAGGACCCAAAAGTCCTGATTTTTGAGTGGGCAGGGAAGCAAAAAGTGCCTAGTAGCAGGAGGGCTTGGAAAAGCATTCAAAGTATTGGGGACATTCATGTCTCATGAGTTTGGAAGTCAGATTTACTCCATGGCTTTGCACCCCACAAAGCCCTCCACAGAGAGATTTTGGAATCAACTGGTCACTTCCATTTTCCAGGAGCACATCAAGGTTATTACAGGCAAAAGCCCACCACCAGTGTGGATTGGAGTAAGGTCGCATCAAAAGGAGTGGAGATGGGTGGATGACACACCCTTCAACCCCAAAATGTGAGTGTATCCACAGCCTGTTGGTGTAAAAAGAAGCTTTGCTCCATTTCAGACCCAGTTCATGCCCTGACCCATCTCTCTAAGCTGTTGGGGTCTGTGCAATGGTCTCATATTTCCCCTGCTAAAGCTCTGCAGACCAAAAGCTGGCAGAGCGCGGTAACCCCACAGCTCCCATCAGACCCATGCAGCAACACATCTTTTCACGCGCCACATATGCTCCTCACAGATCTTACTGTGCGCACACCAGTTCCTCTCAAATTTGAGCACCCACCAGTGAAATGGTGCAGTATGATGAGAAAGTGCAGGAAAAGAGCAGGAGAACCCCACACACCTCTTCTTTTCTACAAAACTGGGAAAGTTTCCTCCCTTAAGCAATGTAATTTTTATTCTGCAGGTTTGGCACCTCCCTGGAGGAGATGGGTGAAGGGTGCGGGACACTAAAAGCCAAGGGCTTTGAGGTTCATAGATGCGATGCCAAACACAAGTGGGTTTGCAAAAAAAACCCCTTCCAGCTCTACCCAATAACAGCAGGAGGCGAGGAGAAACACAATGCCTCCATCTGACACATGCCCACCCCAAAATGCCCATCCCATGAGATGCTGAGGTGGAATCAGCCCCGTTCTCATCATTATGTCTTTGCAGAAGATTTCAGGCTTTGCAAATCCACTTCCCACAAGGATCAAGACCAGCTTGGGAGGCACAGATGAGCCCCTGAATGGGAAATCAGAAAAGCCTGTGCCTCATGCACAGTGATGATAGAGGATAGAGCTACAACATCAATAAAAGCTTATCAAAGTGGTTTGCCTCAATTTACTGAGATAACTCAGGTGAGAGCACAGGTGGCACACCATGGTTCACATATAAACAAGGGAAATTTCAACTCAAAAAAGCTTTCCTGAGTGACAGAACTTACATGTGTGCGTCTCTCCAAGCACCGCTGAGAGTGTCAGCACATAGACTGATGCAGACAGCTGGGTTTTGCTCGAGTTTTGGGGATTTGGAGGGTTTGGTTTGTCTTTTGCACTTTTTTTGTTGGTTTTTTGTTTGGGATTATTTGTTGCTATTGTTTTGGAGTAGTTTTTTTGGTTTGGCTTTTGTTTGTGTGCTTGCTTTTTGATTTTTTTGGGGGAGGCAGGTTGGGGTTTTATTTGGTTGGTTGGTTTTGTTGTTATTACTAAATTCCCTCCCCGCCATTTTTTGACCTCCTTGTCAAGCAGAGAAACCTATTCATTGAAATTAATTCAGCCCAAATGCATAGCTTATGCATTTGAGTGACTTTTAGATAAAGTCTGCTTTCCAAATAACATAGAAATTATCAATAGGATTTGCTGCTGCAGTGCTCCAGCAGCAATGGCCATCCAGCTTGTCTGGGCATAAAGTCTCATGATAATACAAATTCTTTTGTGTTGGTGATAGGTTCCCATGTAGGGATTTATCAAAGGAAGCTGTGCTCAGTTCTTCCCTGTCTCCTGATCAGTCCTGTTTACAGGGTCTCTTTTCCCTTCCAGAGGACATAGTTGTCAGGTCTGCTGCAGACCCAGTTGTTATTGGTGGGGATCAAGGATGAGCTGATCCTCCCTTGGCTCAATTATGCACATGGCCCACTACCCTGCACCTCAAACCTGCAATGCCAACATGCTCAGGAGAGCAAGAAGAGGAAAAGAAGAAAACTACCTGCAAAGCATTAAGAAAAGCTGAAATTTCCTCTCTAGGAGAGAAGGGGTAGTGCTTGGCTGAGGGTATCCAGTAGGGGATTGCTGTGCAGTCTCTGGTCCATCCCAAAACTCCTATCGAAAGCCAGGAGCAGCCTGGATATGGTGTCAGGAGAAGGTCCCCATCCCAGGATGGATCATTCCCATATCCACTAAGAAATCCCTTCAAGGTGGGAGCAGCAATGCAACAGCCCTCGAGGGCCCTGTCCTACCATACTAAGAGAGAGACCTGCCCCAGGGGCTGACCCCAAGTGCCCAACATGGACAGAGGGACCAACCTGCTGTTGAAGGCTGTGCTATCTGTCCACCACTACTTGCTGTTCCTCTTTTGCAAGCTGTGGTTTGCTTCGCCCTTATAGCATATAATGAAAATCTGTAAAGCAAAGAAACATCATAGTTTAGCCAGTCTTGTCTTCCCCACCTCTTCTTTTCCATCTCTGTCCATTACCCCACACAGAGGTGATGCTTTTCCCAAAGTATCTGCTCCTGGCTACACCACTGGGTGCAGTTTGGAGCTGGAATCTTACTTTATTGGTTTTGCTTTCATGTTTCCTGTCCGGGTGCTGGCATAGAGACTCAAGCACAGATCTTATCAGTTCATCCATGGTGCTTATGATGGCCAGTGAAGCTCCCAGGGCCTTGCACCTTTCCCGACTTGCAGTCCCGTTGCCCTCAGCCTCAGAAAAATAATAGCATTTACTTTGGAAGCCAAGGCAGGTGTCTGGGCACACATGGAAGAAATCCGGGTGAGGGAAATGGAATTCCATAAGATAACTGAAAAAGAGAAAGCCAAGTGAGATATGTGGGCAGTTCTAAAAAGCAGAAGAATGGGATTTATTATTTTTATCCCTAGAAGCTGGGAGAACTGGGGATGATGATCTTGGGAATGGTGTGATCAAGGGAGGAGCCAGGTGCGTGGATCACAGCTTAGAGAAAAAAAGAGAAGCAAGCTTTGCTTGGTAAACATCTCTTGATGCTGGGAAAATTTTTGGAGATGGAGAGAACTGTGAAGCTTGAAGGCACACTACATAGTTATGTTGTAGAGAATGTCCAAAGCTGTGACAGAGATTGTCATGCAAGTATAATGCATATTTTACAAAATATGTATAATGTATGTGTTTATACACAGCATGCTAAATCTTGGTTGAGCTGATTTTTTACTGTTTTCAGTATGACCAGGAGTCACCTCAATGGGAAAAGAACTAAATATTCCAATCAGCCTCCTGCAGAAATAAAAAATATTTATATGAAATTACAATATTCCAATGTTTGTTCAGCAAATGTGTCATCATTAAATAGTGTTGAAAGACAGTCACCATAACTTTTGAAATGTATTTGCTCCAGAGAGCCAGCATGTAGTAAACACACATTGTGTAATTTGGCCAACCAACCATACAGCATGAGAGCAGTGTCCTACTAACTGAGAGTGTAAGTATCTACATATTACAAGCAGAAAGGAGATGCCAGTCCCTCAGGGACAAGGTACAACACTCAGCAATTTAAAGCATTGGCTTTAATGAAAGCACAGCATTGCTGTGGTGGGAGCCTCAGTACACCAACACTAAATGGGGGGACCTGATAGAGTAGAACCCTGCTTGGAAGTATAGCTCAAAGGATAGCACTGCAGGGATGGATAATAAAACTTGCATTGATTAACTGATTTGCCTTACATATCTATGTAAAGTCCTGTTTTAGTCACTAGTGAACTCTGATGTAATGCAGGTACTGTGGTCTGAATTCTGAGTTCTGCAGCTGTTCATTACATTAGTGCCTGTGCAAAGGTGGGTGCAGATGAGATGGGAAGCAAGCTATCCAGGGCTACCCTCACAAAATAAAATGTGCTTGGAACTCTGCATATGTGGATGGGAAGGAATGAAGTACTCCAGATTACCATGACAACAGGATTCATACTTGGATGAGGGAGATGAATTATCCTGGGTTGCCATAGCAAAGTCTTCTTGAGCCCTACACCACACTTGTCTCTAGTTCTCTTTCTTCAGAAGCCCATTAACTCTGTTCTGACCGAAGGAAGTCAGCTCTGCTCCATATAGGTGACACAGCCAGACAGAAGATACTTTCTTAAACTCCCAGCACAGGAGGTAAGCTATACAGTACACTGTCAAATATCTGGCTTAGAAACTACAGCAAGTGTTTTGCCTTCCTGAAATGAGACAATAAACTTATCACAATGGATATTCTGTTATAAAAGTTGCTACTACCTTCACTTGGATGAGTTCTGTGTCTTTACAGAGGCAAGGACATGTTCACTTCTAATTAGACTGAAAACAAACCCCGCAATTTGGCGTTTTCCAAACAAAACAATGGTACAAGGTTGGCAGTTTTCAGAAAAAGCTAATAATGAGACTAATATGTTTAATCCCATTCCAGGTTTCATTTCCCTAGTCACGTTTCTTGTCTGCCTTTTTAATGGATCCCAGCTTTACAATAACCACGTACTCTTCTGTGAACTTTTGGCACATGGAAAGAAGCCAATAGTCAGTTTTGCCATATGAGATCCAGCTTCTGATGTAGCAAGGACATAGGCAGGCACTGGTTCGTCTCCTGAGGAATACACTTTGTTTTTCTGAATATTTTTTTAATTTAGAAAGTAGAAAGAAGATAACATACCCTACTGTACAAAAAGTAAGCAAAATCTCTAAGCTGGATACTTTTGCAGACAACAACAAAGCAAGCACCTGTATTTTGAGTCATGAAAGATACGTAGGTACTGTACAGAATAAAGAACAGGTGTTCTATAGGGCCAGAATACGACGATGAAACCATCATATCCTTTGGCACTATTTAAAAGAGTCTCATCCCTTTTAGAGGTATTACTGGTCTTCTCTGTCCTGACACATGCAGAAAAAATCTGCTACACCCAGGGGACAACAAGCATTACACACTGCACCTAGATACCTGACAGTGTGATACACACAAAGCTTCCGTGAAAGCAGTCATATGAGAAGATGAGCACTCTCTTTACTAACTCAGATACCCCCCCTTTTTTGTTTTGCCTTGGCTTTTATGTAGAGATAATAATAGATTCTATCAATTTAGTCTTTGCATCCTCCTTTTCCAGTGTCACTGATGTTTTTGAACCAGGAATGACATCACAAATTACCCTTTATTATGACAGTAACGCTTAAAAGCAAAAAGCAAGGAAGAAAGGGATCTGAACAAAAGCATTTTGAAAAACAAATGCAAAATGTACAAGCAGTATTTATTACACAGGGAACATAAAGTACATTTTTATTTTGCCATAACAGAACAATAACCAATTTTAACAAATTGCCTGCATTTTTAGAATATATACAGATGCTCCGTAATCAGTGACCTCAACAACAGTGCTCATCTGCCACCCAGTGTCTATTTGCTTTTTTCCCGTCTTACAAGAACACACAACCTGAAGACTATCTGCCAAGATGAACTCTACGTTATTATTTATGTTTTAGTTAAATGTTACCAGCAAACTAGACTGCTATCAGAAAATATGAAAATTAGGCTGAAGAAACTAAAGAAACATGACTGATCATAACAAATTATTCAATGAGTCTAATCAGAAAAGTGATTTTGTTTTTTTCATCAAGTGTGTACCTAACAAAATGATGGAGTACAAGGAAATACCATTGAGGAGGTCCTTAAATTTGTAAGGGAGAGAAAGCTGGGGGACATGGCATAAAACTAACGCCTACTAATATCCTTTACAGTCTCAAATTAATTAGCATGTAGAGAAATATTTACTTGCCTAATTCCTGAAGACACAAGCTGAGTTAATTTAAACTTTATTACGTTCCCTGGGAGATGAAAAATAAATTATAGCAGTGTGGCTGAATAACTAGAATAGACTGACTGTTTACGCCTGGGACAGTAACCAAAAACTAACCTTACAGAAAGAGATGGAGGATGGAGGAGAGCAAAGGAATCAGAAGAGCAGACGACTGATTGAAGAGAAAGAAGATATTTCCTACTTTGCATCCTCGAGTATTTATTCTAATATTATTAATATTAGAATAGAAACATACATGAAAGAAATATCAGCAGAAGCTATCCTCTGTGGTTGACAACTGATGGATTTATAGGACAAGGGGACAGTCAGTGGCTTCTGCTTGACCTTCTCTTGATTTTTCAGGATTGGCTTTCTCCAGAAGGACAGAAACCTGAAACCCAGCAAGGACAAAGGAATTGCAGCTGAATTAAAGCTAAGGGATGAAAATATTTTAAATTAACAAAACACCTGCTCTTGTAGTCTGGCCAAAGGTTACTAGCAATAACAAAACAGAATGTAGACAGGCCATTATTATAAATAATTTTTTTCTCTTCCTCCATCCCCCTACAAAAAACAGATAAGACTTTGGCTTTTAAAAGACTGCTTAATCATTAAGTAAATGACTTGTCACAGACTTCAAAAGTGATGATGGAAAAATAGAAAGCAGACTGTCAAGTTAACCTAGTGTTACACTAGGTGTCAGAACACAGAGTGTCCAAAGAATGGAAAAATTATGTAATTGACTTGAGGGGAGCTAGTAGAGCCTGACATTCAAAGAGCTCAATTTAGAGCAGCATATAAGGGGACCAATGTATACCAGGTCATGTACTTTAGAAAGACAAAATCAGATACAAACACACTATATGTGAATACATATGTGAATACACATATTATGTGAATACATATTCATTACAGCACCAACTCATTAAACAACCTAGCATTCCTAGGAACACTTTTTATCAATTCAAAATATTTCCCCTATTCCCTATCAAGCTGCCACTAAGCAAAATCAAACTTAGCTAATATTAGATATATCTATGATTGTGTACTTTAAAGTTATGCAATATTTTGAAAAAAAAGATGAAATTTCATATCATCCATATCTGCATCAACTTCAGAACAGTCTGTACTTTGTATGAAAAAAAATCATGTTTATAGCACTGTAAATTAAATTCTACAACCTGTAAAACAGCAGAACCACAAGGACAATTAGGAAATTTATATCTGGAAAATACCTGAAATCTTGGCCAATCCTAAAGGACACAACTCAAAAGAAAGAATGAAAAGGCCTAAATGCAAACACCTTACAGGGCAGGTAATTTTCCACCAAGATTATGGACAAATGAGAAAATATGAGAAAGTTTTCCTTTATGTAAAACTTGCCTGAATATCTTATAAAAATAAAATCAGTTATGATATCACCTTGTTATGATCAGGTTCTTTAAAATCATTAGAGAGATGCCTCTGACAAAATTAAGCTGCAAACAAGGCCATATGCCGAAGGCAATAGTACATATTTTTATTTAACAGTAAATGTGAGGTAGAGAGAGATATAAAGGAATAGGGAAGAGAGAGCGAGGGTAGAGTGGGGAGAGAGAGTAACAGAGAGACAGATTAAGTAGAAAAAATATCACCACTCTGTGGGTTCCAATGGCATCCCGTTGATCCTCTTCTTGGGGTCTTCCTGGTGGTTAGAGCCCCAGTCTTGTCAAAGTGATGGTTGCAGTCCGGACCTGTCAAGGAAAGCCCGGGGTAGTGAGGGAATGTATCAATCTCAGCGTATCAGTGAAGTGTAGTGAAGGAAGAATCATGTATCAGTGAACGAAGTCCCACGTGGTGAAGGAAGAGGTCTGTGGCGGTAAGGAAAGAAATCTGTTCATGAGCGAATAATAACCACAGGGGGAAAGGGAAAGCAATCATGCCACTCAAAGAAAGGCCTCTTGTGAGCCAGATGTAGAGAATTTTAGAGAAACACACAGGTAGTGAGAGTATTTTGAAAAAGAAAGGAGAAGACTCAGAAGCAAATAGTTAATAAACAGACTGTTCCTCTCAACTTCCTAAGTTCCTGTTTTGCAATGGCTTCAGCATGGGCTTGCTATTGAAACAGGAGCCAAGCCTAAAAGAGTTAACTGAAATATCTTGGCCTGCTAAGAAACCTCAATACCTGTTTTGCTAGAAGAACATTTTAGGAGCACTGGTTAATATCATGTTCTGTTCTGCTCACTGGACCAAAGGCCTTATTATAGAAAGAATAGGAGTAATACACACATGGTAATAAATTAGGTAAACTAGACGTTTGAATAAGATCTAGAAGGCCCAGAGCCAGGATTTTGCAAGCTTGAAGGATTCAGGTCACCTAATTGAAGAGGTCAAATTGAGGAAGACGTCCATGGCGACCACCAGAGGGATGAAGGCTTGAGCAGAAGACCCCCAAAGTACAAGACTGTGCACGCCTGGAAAGACTCTGCCCAGAGACCAGCCTACTTATTAATATGTATAATAAATGATGTAACCATGTATCTAAAGTGTATAAAATGGCTTAGTTTTGCACTTACAAGTCGAGCAAGTTTGTCAGCATGAGCTGGCTTGCTCCCAACGTTGAATAAACAAATACCTTGCTGCTTAAAGATAAAAAGTCTCTGAGCAGTTTCTCGGACCGATTTTTCGGATTCACTATCTCAGTAGACATAGCCATTCTGTCTTACACCACTTTTTAAAAAACAATCTTCAAACACAAATAACATACAATAATATACAGTAAAGTGCAGGAAAAACACTGAAGAGTCCTTTTCTCACCAGTTCTAGGTATTAGAGTGATGTGTAAAATGGCAGCAGAACCACTCATCTATCATTTATTTGGATCTTCATTTGCATCACATATCTGCCGTAGAGAAAAAAATCTTGAATAGATGATAGCCATATTAGAATTGAGGTATCACAGAACAATCATGTGTGAATCAAAATAAATTCAATTACTATCATATACAATGTTGTCATGTGAACTATCCATCTGAGAGATGATCTTTCATCACCACTTCTATCAAAGCTCCAAACCATAAAATCTTAAGGAAATGTTAAATTCAGTTCCAGGAATGGGCCAAATACTGCATCTTATTATGTCAAGATACATGTGAAACAAGAATAACCTATCAATTGTAAAGAAAAATAAGATTATGGAATTAATTACAGCTTGTACAAGGCTTGAGACATCAGTTTCTAGCCCAAGGCACCCAACAAATGAAAATCACCTTTTCAAAGCAAATCTCATGAGTCAACAGAAGGAAAACAGGAGGAGGGCATTAATTCTGTCTCTCTGTGTTGATCCAAAATGCAAAAACTGAGAAAAACGTCGTGTTTCTTAGCCTGAAACACACCAAGAAATGTAGACTTAGGAAAGAAAAAGAGCATTCACATGGTATTCCTTAGTCCAGTCTTACACATATGCATCAGTCCAAGTCTGCAGGACCCTATCTCAGAAGGGACTCATTGGACTTTGGCTTTATTACTGATAATCTCAAAGGGGTGCTAGATTTACATCTATTCTTGGAAGTTCTCTCATTTTATATTTTTTACTTTTATCATCCCATGTAACAGGGACTGATTTCATAGACCTTAGCATTATACACAGAAAAACATTTGATTCCTACAAAGAAATGATTGAGTGAAACCCACTATTTTTGTTCTTATATCCCATAAGGAGACTTGTTATGACCAACATGTAAGTATTATCCATTTACACCACAGCAGTAATCCCTTTATTAAATAATCGTCCCGCGGCAAGAAGCTTCCCCCCTCCCCTCCATTTAACCTAACCTTTTCCTTGCACAAACTTGCTAGCAGACTTTATACCTACGGCTCCAAAGAACCGCTCAGTGCCTCCTGTTTGGAGGAAGAGCTAAATAACCAACTTATGGGCGAGAAATTAGGGCTACAACTAGAGCACATTTTAATTTCACGGGTGTATTACCACTGCAAAGGTATGGCCTCACTTTCAGCTAACTTCCATTCCCAGACGAGATCCAAGTTATTGACAACCACACAGCACCCCAGGAGCTCTTAGCACTGATCGTCCGCATATATATACAAATACACACACATACACGAGTAGTTTGCCAGTGCCGTGCCTGCAAGGAGGTGACCGGCCCTCCACCGGCACGGAAGAGGCAGGGGCAGGGGAGGGGACAGGACAGGGGCAGTGGCAGAGACAGGTACAGAGGCACCGGCAGGAAAAGGGCAGGGGCGGCGCTGGAGCAGCGACAGGGACAGAGGCAGAGGCAGGAACGGGAAGACTGGAGGGGGCAGGGACAGGAGCAGCATTAGGGGTAGGGATGGGCAGCGGCACCAATGGCAGGGACAGGGGCAAGGACAAGGAGAGAGCCAGGAGCAGACACACGTGCAGGACAACGGACAGGGGCCGCTGTGGGGGCAGGGGCCGCTGTGGGGGAGCAGCGCCAGGCACAGCCCCAGTGCCGTCCCGCCCCGCCCCCGGGCCCGCCCGGCGCTCCGGCCCCGCCCCGCTCGGCGGAAGTGTCGCTGCCCCAGTTCCGGCGAGGCGGTGGCGCCGCCGGGACGGCACCGGGCATGGCGCTGTGGATGCCGCGCTCCCGGGACGGCAGCGCCCCGGAGGAGGAGGGCGAGGAGCGGGCGCAGGCTCCCGCCTGCCGCCAGCGTCTGCCGGAGGTGCAGGTACGGCCGTGCTCCCCCGCGCGGGGCTGGCGGGGCCGCGGGCGCCTCGGCCCTGCGGGGGAGCGGCGGGGGGACGCGGGCACCGCGCGGGCGGGGCGGGCGCTGCGGGAGGGCCCGCCCGGCGCCCGGCGGGGACGGGGGGGGAGAGTCTGGCGTCTGCCGCCGGCCCTGGGTAGCGGTTCCACCCTGGGCAAGCGATGTGCAAGGAGCTGGGCTGGAGTCATCCCAGCATCCCTGTGCCTGAAGAGAAGATACATAGGCAGTGTGTTCGCTGTTGGCCAGGGCAAGTCGGTGATTTATAAACACGTTGTTGGGAATTCTGTGTTTTCTCGCAAGAAACTGTCATTACGTTACTTTTCCAAAGAGTGGGATTTTCTTCTTGTTATTGCAGAAGTAAGGATGCTGTAATTCTGAAACAAAGCTGGGACAAGAACTTTGATGTACCTGCATTAAAGTTTCCTTCAGATAATCTTTTTTTTTAGCTTGTCCTTCGCGTGCCCCTGCCAGAGGTTATCAGCAGTACAGATTTCATAACATGGCACTGGAACGCTGAGGAACTAATGCATATGGATGCTTTCTTCTTCACTTTTGGTGGAAAAGGCATGGCATATGCTATAGAGGATAATTTCTTAAATTACTGAGCGTGAATTCCCAGCACACTCCTGGAAGTAATATAAGCAGAGTTGCTTAAGATGACATTTTTCTCTCCCAGCTATGAGTGATAACCTCTTCAACAAATTTGACCAAAAGGAGCATATGTTTGTGCTGGGCCTCAGCCACTCTGTAACTTAAATTCCACTTTCAGTGTCAGTTCAAGGGAAGAAGATATTGGCCATCTGTTTAGTACTAATCCATACTGGAATGCAGGCAGCAGCAGTTACTTTACTGTTGTGATCTGACATCACCAGAATGATACTTTCTTCTCAGAAGTGTATATTCAGAGTATTGTCACACTTGGCTGCTGCTAATGTTGCAGCCTAAAGATAGCCAGAGGGGTTCAGCTGTGTCAAAAGTATTTTTACAGTCTGGAGACTTTAACTGATAGCAGTACATGATCCAGGATTTTGCAAATACACTTAACAAAGTTAAGGTGGCTTGAATTGGAAATATTTTTGTACAAAACACAGCTGTGCAATGCCATGCTTCGTTACTCTTGCTGATATAATGCTGCATATCTAAGGTGCCTTCCAGGTGCATTATTATTAACTTTGGGATTTAGGCCAGTCTGCTTCTATACAAACTGTAAACAGACAATTTTCCCTCCATAAATAGCGTGTCTGATTTTCCTCACAGACTTACAGCCAGGGGATTGAATTAGCCTGCCAAAAAGAAAGAGAGTTTGTCAAGCACTCTGTAGAATGCACGTGGAACCTAGCAGAAGCCCAGCAAAAATTTGGTAGCTTAGCATTGCATAATTCAGAATCCTGCGATCAAGAGTCTGCTCAAGCGAGGACAGAAGCGGCAGAGTTGAGATGGAGAGAGGAAGAGTGGAGAAGGAAAGAAGAAGCACTGAACCAGAGGGAAAGACAGAATCTATGGAACGCAGATCCTGTTAGTAAGGAAGTATTTAATAAGGTATGACCCATATTGGTGTGCATGGAAAAAAAGTCTTAGGCTCTTTTGTTCATTCTGGTTGTTACTAGTCTCTGAATGTATTCTGTGTCTAGTACAGCACAAAAATGGAGTATGTCCCTCATCTTTTTGCCTGCGAATATCATGAAACAGATCCTCCTAGAATCTGTGCTAAGGTACATGGAGGACAGGGAGATGATTTGGGACATGGATTCACAAAGGGCAAGTCCTGCCTTAACCAACCGAGTGGCCTTCTATGATGGAGTGACTACAGTAGTGGCCAAGGGAAAAATTACAGATGTCATTTATCTGCCTCTCTGCTCTGCCTCTGTGAGATCCCCCAAAGTGCTACGTCCAGCTCTGGGTTCCCCAGTACAAGAAAGACATGGATCTGTTAGAGCAGGTCCAGAGGAGGGCTACAAAGATAATCAGAGTGCTGAAGCACCTCTCTTATGAGGACAGGCTGAAAGAGTTGGGGTTGTTCAGCCTGAAGAAGAGAAGACTGCTGGAGAGCCCTTATTTACCTTATTGTGGTCTTTCAATACTTCAGGGAGCCTTAGATGGAGAGAGACTTTTTCATCACACCCTGTTGTGATAGGACAAGGGGCAATGGATTTAAACTGAAAGACAGTAGATTTATATTGGATATAAGGAAGAAATTTTATTATTAGTGTGGTGAGACATGGGAAGAGGTTGCCCAGGGAAGTTGTGGATGCCCCATCCCTGGAAGCAACAGAGCTCAGATTGGACGGGTCTTTGAGCAACCTGATCCAGTGGAAGACAGATGTCCCTGTCTGTGGCAGGGAGGAGTGAAACTCTGATCTTTAATTGTTCCAGCCAACCCAAAATGTGAAACTTAGTTTGCTTCTAATACTGAATACTATAATACAGATTATTTAGCACAAAGTTTTTTTATAGTAGAATCTCAGCTTTGATTTAACAATTTAATTTAAACGGCTAGCACATCTCCTAATTTCACTGATTTAGCTGCATCCAGGATGCAGTGTACATGGTTCTTATCACTGACACATCAGTAAGTTTCCATCTGAGGACAGAAGTTTCTCAGAGACTATAATGAGACTTTAAAACTCTGTTATGAAGTAAAGCATATTCTAAAAGAAAACCTTCTGAAATATGATGTGACTCTCAAATTAGAACATAGCCCTTTAAATAGTACCATATTAAAATATAATATTCCTTTATATCACTAAACAGTATGTTTGGAGTTTCTGTGATAGTACAATTTTTCTCTTCCTCAGAGTTTTATTAATCAAAAAAGAAAAGAAATAGAAGATGAAGCTGTGTCTGAACCACTTATGCAAAAACATGAACAAAAGATTAGACACTTTGGTGAGTCTGCTTTTCCAACATTTTGCAGTCCTTAAAGTATTTATGTTGGCTTGCTCCTTCTTGTATAGAATGAATGCTAACAAATGAAAGACCTGGATAAAGACTGTTCAGCTCTATTTTATCAAGACAAATAATAATTTAAAAGTGAAACAAGGTGTTAATTGAAGAAACTTGTTAATTCCTGTGACCAACAAGAACTCCAATTGAAAAAATAATTAAAAATTAATACTCAACTAAGCTTAAGCTGTCCTGGTTTCAGTTGGAACAGAATTAAACTCTTTTCAGTAGCTGATACAGTGCTGTGTTTTGGATTCATTATGAGAATAATGCTGATAGCATAACGATGATTTGGTTGTTGCTCAGTAGCTCTTACTGTAAATCAAGGAATTTTCACTGTCTCATGCACTGACATCAGGTGCACATTAGGTACATGAGAAACTGGGAGGGAGCATGGCTGGGACACCTGACCTGTACTGGCTAAAGGAATTTCCACACCACAGAACACCCTGCCCAGGATATAAATGAGGGAGTTGACTGGGAGGATCCGATCATTGCTCAGGAATGAGATGGGCATCAGTCAGGGGGTGGTGAGAAGCTATATTGAGTGTCGAGTGTTCCTCTTGAGTTTTTTCGTTCCCTCTTTCTCTCCCCCCACGCCCTTTTTCTCCCCCCACTCCTCTTCTCTGTCCCTCTCCTCTGCTCTCCCCCTCACCCTCCTGCCATCTTCCCTCTTTTTCATTACAATTATTATTAATACCAGATGAAACCAGGACAAGCCATGAAAACTACAATTCTAGCAACTTTCTCTGCTGTTCAGTGGGAAAAGGCAGGGAAATTCATGGAAATACAAGTCGTGTATAAAAGTGCATGGGATTGTCCACAGTTCTCTCCTTTTAATAAATGTTTTTCTGGCATCTGTTAAGCTACAAGGGTAATGACTGATTAATGGACATGTTTGTAAACACCTACTGAAAGTATGTGTGCACAGAATTGTGTGTTTAAAACTATACTCAATTATCCACTAGGTGTCACTTTAGCTCTGTCATAATTATTGAACGCAATTGAGCACAAAGCTGATCTTTCAGTAATCTGTAATTTTGATGGTTCTCTAAAGTGCTTTCCATTCTTAGTTACAGGCTGGTTTCAGACTATAGTACAGTGTAGCCATATTTGGAATTCCAGAACAATCAAGAACAGGATGGAGTTGGCAAAATTGAATTCTTTCAACAAACTTGTTTTTACTAAGCTATTTGGCTTCTAAGGCTCTTAAAGCTGTTTTTAAGAAAAGGCTTCTAGCCCTGTTAGCCTTAGCAAGCCTTGCAAGTACCAGGTTGAGGCACAATGCTGTCAGAGTATGCAAACAGCAGTAATAGGTGCAGGTTCTCTCAAGGACCTTAACTGCTCAGGGTAATGATAGTGGAATCAGAAGACATCTGCCCTGCCATGCACTTCAACAAGAAAAAAAAAGAGGCTTCCTTGCAGGCTTCCTAGCTGAGAGTTGTGTAAAAGTACTCTTTATCTATCAGATTAAACTGTGACAGAAGCAACCTTATTAAAGAGGATGATACATTTTTTCATACCTCCTAAATTCAAAGCCATGTTGTTATTTTAATTTGAAATACATTAGTCCATTGTAAAAGCAACAGTACATTAACACTTTTTGAAGTCTCTTGTTCCATGCTAAGTGGTGCCAAGGGGCAGTCTGGACTTCACTAGTGCATGAGTCCTGTTTCTGAATCCTGCTCTGGCTTCCAAGCAATAAAGAACTTACACAGAATAACTTGAAAACAGGAAGAAATATTAGCTGTTGCTTTTTATTTAGGGATTTGTTTGCTAGAATTAAGATGAGCTTAGG